AACCTTCTCGCTGTGAGGCAACGGTGCTAACCACTGCGCCACCGTGCTGCCCTCACACAAAAACTTAAATTCTTTTTTATTTGTATAGTCACAACACAAAACATCTCAAGGCACTTTACATAATGAGGTCTAGACCCTACAGAGAAATCCCCATAAATCCCCTTGAACGAGCACTTGGTGACAATGGAAAGGAAAGCCTTCCTTTAATGGCACAAAAAATGTCAGACATAACCCCTTTTGGTGGGCAGCTATACAGAAAAGACAAATTACATTGATTGTCAGCTACTTTGTATTAGTGCATCAATCTGCTTTACCTTTTAAAGTGGCTCTAATTAGCAATAGATCAAATGAATGATTGTGTAGTGCAGAAATAGGTCACTCATAGTGATGAATCCATAGCCAGTTTTCACCTGACATCACAGCTTTCCTCTGCTCCATAGTTTAGGCCTCTATCAAATCTGTTTTGACATTATAGGTTGCACCTTTTCAGTTTTGATGCACTCTTACCACTCTCATCGGCATAATTTTTGACTTCAGCAGGCAGATGTTTTCAGCAAAAAAAAAAAGCTCCAAAAGCCCACTGTACACTACATGCCCTGCACCAGACAGCAGACAGAAACAGTGACTAGCTGATGGTGGTGTTGTAGTCAAGTCACTAAACCTCGAGACCAAGTCAAGTCTCGAGTCCACAGTGTTCGAATCCAAGTCACCAAAGAATAATTTGAGTTGAGTCCCCGTCACCCGAGTCAACTTTCTAATGGCGTTTTGCATCAGCATATGGCTCTGAAATTTGATACATAAAATCATTTATAGAAAGACTGACTTTAATCTCTCCTCCCTTGTCCTTGTCAGTTCTCAGTAACAAGACCCAGGGCAGACCGCCTGTGTCCCGGAAAACTGTCCCAAAGACAACTCTTGGTAATGACTTTTTTGACCTAAAACTAAATTCAGAGGTCAGGAAGAATTCTTATCCTACATCTGATCATTCTGTTTGACTTTTCTGGCACAATCAAGCTAATTGTTTACTGTATGTGCGACATTTCTGTACATTGTAGAGGACATGCAGTAATAATTTATCCAGTTTCTACTAATGTATACTATATTTCTCAGCTCCATCCACAACAACTAGACAGGAATCGGTGTCGACTCCTGGACCCACACTGCCTGTGGTCACCAAACAGCCAATCGGTAAACACTGAATCATAGTTATTTTTGAAAAAGCTTTCTTATTTGTGAAATCACAGACTTAGCAGACTGTAATTAGAGACTGTCAGTGCTTTACATTGTCCTTTGTAATTATCTGCATGAGCAAAAATGACATGCTATGAGTAAATACCATAGCTCAGCCCTCCCTGTGGAAACCAACTGATAGTGTTAGATGTTTGGGTAGTAATGAGGACAAGGTAGGTGGCCTGTGCTTCATGACGTTTTAGTCTAAAACAACAAAGATTGATTCTTAATGATGTTTTTATGTTCTGTTATGTTTATCAGTGACCATTTCTACAGTGTAAGAGCTAAAAGTTTAATCAGCCAATATGGAGAACCATTCCCAGTTAAGAAAGAGAATATATGGTAGGACTACCCCCTGAGAGTCGACTAGCCGAATCCTTAGTTGAGATGCCCGTCAGTCCACTGAGACTCTTCTAGTTGAAAGGTCTGACGACACTGTTTAGCAAACTGTGGCCTAGAATGAGGAGAAAAAGACAACAAAATCCTTTAGGACAAGACACAAAGGTGAGAGTTGTACTTTACTAGAAGTTTTTAAACATCATAATCTACTATTACAAGAGAAAATTTTTTTATGTTTGTGACAATGTGGCTAGTTTTGCATTTGGCATCTGGTTTGTTTTTCCCCATCTATTTTAAAATGTAATGCATAGCTGTTTCTGTGCCATGCATCTATCCAAACGGGAGTAGGAAGCTAACAAAAATGTGCCGGTTCAGCCCTAATATTTGGCCGGCACTTGGAATTATATTATTATATTGTAGTGTTTTTTTCCTGTATCTGCCTCCTTATGTTTTAACCATTTACAAATCCATTGTTACCAACTTGATCTTGTCCAGTACACTCTAAGTTCATGTTGTGCGTTTCTACTACTGAATGTTTTACCTCAGTATTTACAGTTAAGATTGTTCATCATAGTATTTGCTGTTTACAAACCTGAGACATTTGCTTTCAGTGCAGTGCAGTTGGACGTCAGCATGACAAAACTGCATGAACAAGAGGTCTGTCTCTCTCTCTTCAACAGGAACTCCAGCAAAATGCCTTATGTTCTTCTTTTCTTGTACCTGTATTACCTTGTCCTCCTATGTGCCCTTCTTCAACATTAATTTTTAATTGCAATGAACCCAAGTTATTTTTCAGTGAAGCTAGGGGTTTTACACACAAATGGCCGTTATGCTTCAAATACTTCATAATAGTGTGTCTACAATTGAATCTATCAGACTCCTGCCAGTTTGGAGTTATTGTGTAACCTCTGCTTTAGTCCAAGATCAGCTCTGTAAGTTGGCACTTCTGCTGATTTAAATTCTTGCTTTCATAATTTTTTAGGTAATAAAATAATGGTGTTATTTCCAAAGAATAATATATTTGCTATTATATCTTGCAGCACAGCATTGTTGGCTTCATAGCCATATTTTCTCTCTCTCTAACAACCCAGGAGGAGGAGACCTCTCCAGATCTGTCTTGCCTTCTTTTCAGGAGGTCACATTAGCTTCCAAGCTACTTGCTCCACTAGATATTACTACCACCGTGGCATTTGTGCCAGTCCCCCAGAAAAATTTGGAAAAATATGGACCGCATCCTCAGCTTCAACAAAAGCCCCTCACACCACCTTTATCAAACCCTCTCCTCAAGCCACAGAATCGACCACAACTAAAGCCCCATGTGATGGATCAATCTCAACCAAAACCCTATTCCAAAACTCAATCGCAAGCTCTACCCAAACCAAAATCCCAACCCACACTCCAGACTAAACAAAAAATGACATCCCATCCCACACCCCAGACTAAACCCCAACCCCAACCAATATCTCAGACCAAACCAAATTCAACATTCCAGCTCACACGCCAGACCAAACCACAGCCCCAACCAGTATCCCAGGCAAAACCAAAATCATCATTGAAGCCCACAGCCCAGACTAAACCACAACCAACATCCCAGGCCAAGCCACAACCCAAACCAAAATCCCAGACCACACCAACATCACCGTATCCCAGGCAAAACCAAAATCATCATTGAAGCCCACAGCCCAGACTAAACCACAACCAACATCCCAGGCCAAGCCACAACCCAAACCAAAATCCCAGACCAAACCAAAATCAACATCCCAGCCCACAGCCCAGACCCAACCACGGCCACAATCCCAGCTCAAGACCCAGATGAAACCACAACCCCAACAAACACCCCAGACCCAACCTCAGCCAAAACCCAAGCCAAAAATTCAACCTATACCCCAAACCCTAAATCTAGCACAACTCCAACCAACACCCCCACCCAAACTCGATACCCGACCAATCTCAGCAGAGTCTCATCCAAATTTACATCTCCAGATACAGACCACATTGCAGTTCCACTCTGAACCACAACCTCAACCAACACGCCAGCCCAAACGGACCCAGTCGCAACCACAGGTTGAACCTATTCTCCAGCCCACACCTTTGGCACATCCTAAAATACCTAAACCAACACACCAGCACTTACCTCATACCCAACAAGAGCTACCAAAGATTCACATCTGGCCACAGCCTCAACCACAGATTCAATCTACAACTCGGCTCCAATCCCAAACACAACCTCAATCAAAGACTACTCCAGAACCTAAACTAAATACTGAGCTACAATCCAGACCCCACCCACTGCCTAAATCAAAGATAATCCTCTCCAAACACAAGCCCAAGCCAGAGCCTCAATCAGAGAACCAATCCAAGCCCCAAACACCAGCTCAGCTTGAAAAGCAGCCAAAACCTCAACCAAAGCCTCAATCACAATCTCCAGCAAAGCCTCAGGCCCAACTTGTACCTCATTCTGAACCCATTGCCCAGCCACATCCTCCACCAAAGACCCTGACTCAGTACCAACCTGAGAACCAATCAGAGAACCAATCCAAGCCCCAAACACCAGCTCAGCTTGAAAAGCAGCCAGAACCTCACCCAAAGCCCCAATCACAACCTCCAGCAAAGCCTCAGGCCCAACTTG